GGGGACGGAGACGTGAAGAATGGAGACAAGACAGGGAGTCTGATCAAGTCTCTCAAGTCTCGTTTATTGGAAGGAAATCCTTTACCCTTTACCAGGTGCCTTGCCCTCGTGGACAAGCACAGCTGAAGGCACTATGTCATGTGCCTTGCAGCGTGGATATCACATGCACCTAGCTAGCAGTGAGGAGACCACGTGCACCTTACAGCTGGTGGCACTAAACAGCAAAACAAGATATGTGAGAAAAACAAGATGTTTATCAGAGTGTGCTCAGTTGTTTCGGGCTGTTGAAAACAAGTCTCTTGTCAGGGTATATGGCCTGAGATGGCTGCAAAGATGATAGCCGCTTTCGGCTAGGAGTCGGCTCCCAACAGGTCCCCCTTTTTAAATTTATTTTCAAAAGGGAAGGCTGGGAAAACTTATGGAAACCGTGCCTGTCTTTGGTTGGAACAAAGGACCCCAGCCTCCCTTTCCCATCTCTGGATACCCAACAGCCATTGGTTGAGCTCCTGTCTTAGGGTGATGAGGCCTCCCAGTTCGGGGCAAGGGTCTTGAGGTGTTCTCTTACCCGTCATTGACTATCCAGCTTAGCGTGTAAGTTAGGGGTTAATCCTCGTCAGTCTTGATGACAGAGGTTTTTGAGTCCCCTACTTCCAGCCTGTAATAACGGACCTGTATGGGTTTCATTTGAATAGCATCTGTCTGTTGTCGTATGAAAGCCATCAGTCTGTTGAACAGCATGAATCCGAGAGACAAGAGACTTAATGCCTGAATGGTTGATGTAAACCATTCTGCCTCAGAGCAACACTCTTTTTTAAGGGTAGCACACAACTCCCTCTGTTCGAGGAGCAAAAAATATAAGCCTCTTCTATTCTGTAGCACTATTTTCTAAATCTAAATCTGTATAAGTACAAAACTGATCATAACTTTGATCTTAACAAAACAAGTAAGGAAATCCCTGTTCCTGCCCCAATCAATCTCAAACCCAAAAAACAATTGTAGCAACTGTGGTAATGGGTTCTTTCTTGGGTCTAAACAATGTACCCCACTAAATCATAAACCAGGGAACCAAGAGTCCAATAGAGCCACCCTGGAGGTGCGGATGGTGATGTCTTCTTCTGCACTGAGAACTTTCCGAGTCAGGTATGCTGGTTGATCCACTCCAGTGAAGCATCTTCATGTTTCCTGCAAAGAAAAAAATATGCTTCCCAGGGGATTTCTCCTCCCTGGATTTGTTATTGTTGTCTATTTGTTTAATCAGTCTCTCTGGCAGCCAGCGTGTGGCATCTGCCGTTTGAGAATCAGAGGAACCAAAGTATACATCAGAGAAATCAAAGCCTTGATCCCCTCTCTTAGTATTTATGATTAGTAGGGATCAATGGAAGTAACAACAGTTGAGCTATCCTCCTTCCTGTAGGAATAGTGACTATATTCTCTATTGCCTTGGTCATTACCTTAATCTCACCTTGATAATCACTGTCTATAACTCCAGGAAAAATTTGTAGCCCCTGCATAGTAGCACTGCTTCTTCCCACTATCAGGCCAAACACATTTGGATAGAGTGGTCCAAACGCTCCAGTGGGTAAGGCCTGAGGTTCCATTTCTGGGGTTAATACTGTGTGGGTGGCAGAACTGAGGTCCAGTCCTGCGCTTCCTGGTGTTGCTCGACTAAGTTCAGAAAGGGGTTGTTGTTTGCTGGTATGAAACTGACTGCCCCATAAGCCTGTTTTGGCTTGTGTTGGTTCGGGGCCTGGGGCTGGCCCCTGTTCCCGTTTCCCTGATTATGGGAAAGGGTGTTTCCTTGTGCTTCTATCTGTTTTGGACTTACATTCACTAGCCCAATGCCTTCCACGTTTGCAACGTGGGCATAGGCCAGGCTGTTTTCTAGGCTGTCTCTGGGTTAACTCATTCTCTGCCCTGCAATCTTTTGCAAAGTGTCCAGGCTTGCCACATTTAAAACAAGCCTTTTTGTCCCTGCTTGCCAAAAAATCTCTTACTGATTGTCCTTGCATGGCAGCTGCCATAGCTAAGCCCTGTTGGTAAGAGGGCCCTATGTCAGAACAGAGTCTGATATACCCAGTAAGGTCTGTCTTTTTCCTATAGGGTCTAATGGCCGCTTGGCAAGCAGGATTGGCATTTTCATATGCAAGCTGTTTCACATAATCTACACCTGCCTCTGCATTACCAAAAATCCTTCCTGCTGTTGTCATTAATCGATGAACAAAATCAGAAAATCGTTCATCAGGCCCTTGTCTGACTGAGGTCAAAGATGCACCAGGGTCTCCCTTTACCAGGAGTTTGCGCCAAGCCTTCATGGCCGCATTTTGAATTTGAGCGAATAAGCCTGGGTCATATTGCATTTGGTTATCACTAGAAGCAAATTGCCCTTCTCCTACTAAGGCATCAAAGGACCAACCATTACCTGCCTGAATGTTTCTCCTAGCTGTCTCTTTACAATTCTCATGATACTCTGATTTCCAAATAAGATAGTCACCACCACTAAGAACTGCTCTCACTAGAGTATTCCAATCACCAGGAGTCAGCCACTCCTCTGCAACAGATTCTAAGATTGCAAGAGTAAAGGGAGCAGCGGCACCATATTGTGCCACCGAATTGTTTAATTCTTTAATAATTTGAAAATTAAACCCTGTGTGATGTCTCCACGCAACCTCTTGAGCGTCTCTAGTCTCTGATACAGGGAAAACCTCAGCCTCTCCCTCCTCTGGCTGATCTGTGGCTGAACTAAAACCAGAGGACAGGGGCTGCCTTTGGACTCCGGGTTGAGGAACACAAGGACCTGGGTGATTTTCACAATTAGCCTCGCCCTCTTGAGACATCTTCCCTGTCCTTAATTTTTATAACTGATTAATTAAGTCCCGATACTCTTTCTCTAATTCTATTTGCTGTTTAAGAAAAGAAATTTTGTCCTGCAACTCCTTTCTGTGGTCTACAACCGCCATCTCCAGAGCAGGAGCATCTGGAGGTGGAGGAGCATAGGGAGGGGGCCTTCGGGAAGTGGGCCATTCAGGGTCGTAATTTTTGGCTGCCTCTTTCTCTAGGTCAGCACAATCTAGCTCTGACAAATCGATTACTTCAACCTTTGGTCCTATTTTGGATTCTACGCTTTTCTTTTTCTTTTGAACATGAAAGACAGCATTTAAAGAGCAAAACAAAAGCAGACAATTGACACATGGAAACAGCAAACAACAAAACAAAAACAGAGAGTTGAGTTCAGGCTGACTTATTTCCTGCCCCATTATCATTACTATGACCAAGTGGTCTCCACACGGCTGCCACAGTCACCTCTGTTTCACTTCTGAAGTTTCAGTCGACCCTTCTTCCAGTAATGTCCCTCACTGGGCCTCTCCTTCTTGCCGCCTCACGTTGAGCGCCACTTTATAGCTGCCTGTTCGGAGTCAGTCAGCAGGGTCTCCAGCGCAGGAGTGAGGATGCAGGCTTCCAATTCCCGCTGTGTCCTTCACTGTACCCTGCTTACTGGAGCTCCAATGTTGAGGCGCCACTTTGTAGCTGCCCGTTCTGCTGCTCCGGTCCGCAGGTCAGGGCCTAGCAAGAGAGAGAGTGGGGACGGAGACGCGAAGAATGGAGACAAGATAGGGAGTCTGATCAAGTCTCTTCAAGTCTTGTTTATTGGAAGGAAATCCTGGGTATTTATACCCTTTACCACGTTCCTTGCCCTCGTGGACAAGCACAGCTGAAGGCACATGTGCCTTGCAGTGTGGATATCACGTGCACCTAGCTAGCTGTGAGGGGACCATGTGTGCCTTGCAGCTGGTGGCACTAAGCAGCAAAACAAGATATGTGGGACAAACAAGATGTTTATCAGAGTGTGCTCAGTTGTTTTGGGCTGTTGAAAACAAGTCTCTTGTCAGGGTATATGGCCTGAGATGGCTGCAAAGATGATAGCAGCTTTCTGCTCGGAGTTGGCTCCCAACACTGTTTGATGCTTTTGAGATAATCAGGACTGCTAGCCTAACAACCAGCCTCTAGAGATCAACTGCCTGTCATCAGCCCTCCTGGGGTGTAGGTAAGAATTTACACAGGTTAAAAAAGGAAGCTCAGTGTTAGCTAATGGCTTCAAACTCCCTGTAGCTGTGGGTGGGCCTCTAGGTATGTGCCACCATACCTCTTGACCTTAAAAATCCTCTTTTTGAAAGGAAAGTTTAAAATAAATTTCCTCTGGTACTCAGGTAGCCATATGTAATAAAGAAAGAAAAATACAAAAAAAGGCAATAGATATTGATATATTGTGATTAATACTTTAGGTTACTAGCTTTTATAAAAGTAAAACTTTGTGATAAAAATCATATAGTAGAAATAGGCGGTTTTATGACATGGTTGCAAAATGACAGACATAGGTAGACTCTCTCTCTGGGATTGTAATTGGACAAGCAAGTACACAGTTGATCTCTGTAACAGAGTCAGGCTGCTTGGAAACCAGAAAGGCTTCTTGATATTATGGAGGTGAAATTCTTCTGGGGCAGCATCTGAGCATCACTGCTCTTTGTCAGGGGGAGGGGAGGAGTGCTATGGGGTCATCCATTTCCAGAGGACGGCAGAAAAGGGGTATGGAGTTGGTGATCAGAGCCAAAAGCTGTTTACTTTTGGCAATTTAACTCTTTCTATCTTTGGGGCCAGAAGGTGATGGCTTCTTGTGATTTTACTCTTTCTTGCTATTCTGGGACCCAAAACAGCTGGCTTCTAGCAATTAACTCCTGCTGCTAGCAGCAGGTCAAAAGAAACTTAGTTACCTGGGTTCTATTCTCTTTGATTCAGGCCTCTCAATGGCCAGGACAGAGGCTTGGAGTTCCTTAACTCTTCATGAGTCAAAGACAAGAAAATAGAAGGGAAGAAGAGAAGAGGAGAGGAGAGGAGAGGAGAGGAGAGGAGAGGAGAGGAGAGGAGAAGAGAGGAGAAGAGAGGAGAAGAGAGGAGAAGAGAGGAGAAGGGAAGAGAAAGGCACACATAGATACATGCATACTGGATGAAGCTGAAGTAGGCTGCACTGCCATTTTATTGTTGTTCTTAGTTTTTATACTTTCTCAGGATAATTGATCACATGGTTTTCTAAGCATTTTTTACATTCCATAAGTTCACAGATCAATAAGGCTTAAGGAATTACAACAGAATTCTTTATATGTCTTTCCATTGGGCTAGCACCTGACTAAATCTTCATTATCAGTTACTAGATCCATACATTCATTAAAAGTTTGTAGCAATAATTCTTATGTCATAAGTTAGCACAGTGTTTGTCAAGACACAAATCATCTGCCTTGTGTTTTATTATTTTGAAGTCTTGTGTATACCAGTCCATTATTTGTGCTTTGTCCTTGCACCTACAATACATTTCCCATTCCCAGTTTATGACCTTTGGTTACGAGATAGTGGCCTCATTCTTAACCTAGAAGGAATTTATTCCAAGCCTGTTTTTCTTTCTCTAATGCAATTAGCCTGTGACACATGAAGGTTTACAGAGCTCTATTTGCAGCTTTGTTCTATGGGGGTTGAGACTACTTGTATCACCTTAGGAGTTCTATAAACAGGAATATGAAGTCACCAGCTCATCTACACAACGTAACTACATGAAAGTACCATCTTCATATTGATTCTGCAGGAGAGCTGCCCAATACGGTTGGCAGATGCCCAGCTAGGTAAGAGTAGCAGGAAGAGCATATTGGTAGCAAGAAGCAACCCTGGGATGAAGTTTCTGAGGACCCTGCATCTCAGAGTGCACCCATTACAGCCATGAAAAACAGTGGGTCATCACCAGAAAACTCAATTGCCATAACCTTTCTTAAATGGCTTCTGACAGCTCTTAATTTTAACAAGGAAAAAATCCACATTATCAGCAATTAAACATCTTTGCAGATTTTTCTTTGGCTCTGACAGTGTTTGCTCTAAAAGCTATTTCCTTCTTTGGAAGCCTCTTCATCCGTGAATAGGGACTAATTGTGTTATCCGTCACAAAGTCATACAATACTTTGACCCAAGAGATGTGATGGGGGAGTTTGTCATAGTATTCACCTGCCATTTTCTTCACCTGGAAGTTATAAAAAAAAAAAAAAACACACAGTGAGTTTTCCTGAGGCCTCAAGATGACAGGTGAGTGTCTGACACAGATTGAGAGACAATAACCAACTAAAGGGCAATGCCTTTGTTCTTGGTCCTTCAGACCACTGCAGTTCTTCATGAATAAAGACAATCTACAGATCACATATACATTAACAGCTCTGTCATACTACATACTGGACTCATGGCAAAGCCAGAAGCAGTCAGTTCACTCAGCAACTGGAACAAAAAGCTATTAATGTGTGTCTGCCTAACAGTGGTAAGGGAGAGATGCCCTCCCTCCACCCCTGCCCCTTGCCACATGCAGCAGATGGGAGAGATGGCCCTGGGGTCATGAGAACTGGAGAATTAGTCCTGTCTTTCACTGTCTGCAGCACTTGGGAGTGCACCCTGCACCTCACCGGGCAGCACAATAGAGCTGACCGTGGTGGAAGGGATACCAGTGAGTATAGGACACCTGGCCCTACCACTTGACAGATGCTCCCCCTCTCCTGAACCACCTATGGCAGGCAGGAGATCTAGCCCCAAGGTCATGAAAGTAGAAGAGCTGGTCCTGCCACGAGCAAGCCCCGGCCCTTACATGGGCAGTACAGTAGAGCTGACCCTATTGCTTGTCTGCTGCAGCATTGGACAACCTATCTGGGGTAGTACTGAAAAGCTCACACTAGTTGTATGAGTGCAGGAGAGCTTGTGGGATGACCAATTAGGCCCAGATCCAGGGCTTTGAGTTGGCCCACCCCCAAATCTACCACATCTATGAACTGTTGAAGCACATGAAGTGATCAATCCTTCAGTTCCAAATCTGCAGGACCTTCATGACACAGGGCAACAGTAGGATACCCAAGGGGAGTCCAAGTAAGGATCCAACACTGATAATGTAACACAAGGTCTCAAAGTAGAACAATGACTCATTGCAATAAACATTTGCAAGCAAAGAAGTGTGGGCAAAAGGATCCCACACTGTGGGACACACTGTGACATACTATTGCTTCCAGAATGAGATGATTTTTTTTTCTTCTCTGGGGGAGGTTGCAAGGGCAGAGTGTGGATTTCAAGGGATGGGATCATGAGGGAGATTGGGGTGCATGATGTGAAATTCACAAAGAATCAATTAACAGTTAAATAAATACATTTAAGATATTAATTCAGACTGAAAGTATATTAGCAACCTGGAAACCTGGATGATGCAAATGATGACAAATTATAAACATAAAGAGGACATATGGTAAAAAATGAACAAATTCTCAACTGCCCCAGTCCCACGGGTCATTGAAATGGGATCAGAAGAGCTGGAAGAGAGAATTGGAGGGCAGGGGACACACAGAATGAGTGGCTTGTCTATAGGCTGATCAAACCACTGATTCTAATTTTTTCACACAGGCATTATATACACAAAAAGGCAGGATGTGGGGAAGGGGATGATGCAGGAGCATAGGTATTCTCAGGGGGAGTACAGATATCTTCCAGAACAGGGTATTGGCTGGGTTCAGGGAATAGGCCACTATGACTCTGTCTATGATTGCCTTGTTCCTTATCTAAGCTGGTACTATCCACCAAGGCTACCTATCTACAAGGTCTATGATTATTAGTTCTTATCCAGGCTGGTAAATTTCCACCAAAGCTGCCTGTTTACAAGATCTTATAGCTATCTGTTTCAGTATTTTTCCACAGAGACCAAGACTTTGTGTTTGCAGGCTGACTTAGGCCTACTGGTGATTGTAGGCCTTCACTGTATAAGCAAGGCTGCCCCTGACACTCAACATTATGTATGGGTTATAAATCTTAGAGAATTTAGAAGCAGTTTGTCCAATACAATTCAGAGGCTGCCATAATCTTTGATGTCTATGTACTTTATAAAGTTGTAAGAACATGAAAATGCTTGTTTAAGGGTGAGCTATGAGATCACTGAGTTAAAGGCACTTGCTGCCAATCCTGAAGATCTGAATCCAATACTGAGAAATCCACATGATGGAAGAAGAGAACCAACTCTAGAAAACTGTCCTTTGACTTCCTCCAATACACACAATCAATGAATCATGCACACACACAATGTAAATATTTCAAGAGTTTTGTGAACAGCAAATTTAAATAAAACTGACTTATTAAAAATGTTAAACTTTGGAATTGAAAATATTTTAATTGATATTGTATTGTATAAAAATGCTCTGTAATTGATTATTGGTACTTCAAATTTTGTGTATCAGTTACATACACTCCTGACAAAACAACACACACACACACAAACACATACACACACACACAAATGTGTGTAGATACAGATATATGTATTTTGGTTTTTTTCTAGACAGAGTTTCTCTGTGTAGCTAGGTGTCCTGAAACTAGCTCTGTAGACCAGTCTAACCTTGAAGTTGGAGACCCATCTCCTTCTCTCTGCCTCCCAGGTACTGGAATTGAAAGTGTATGCCATCATACCCAGCATTGTATATGAGTTACACTTTAATAAAGCTATTACAAGTCATAAGAGTTGGAGGTGTAGCTCAGTGATACCATGTTGCCTAGCATGCCTGAGGCCATAGTTTCATCTCTAGAAACACAAACAAGCAAATGAACAAACAAAATACCCATTTTAGTATTGCATCATCAGCAATCATTTCATAGCTACACAAATGAGACTATAATTAACTATGATAAACACCAGGAAATTATTAAGAAACAAAGAATTAAGTTCCCACATATATACCATAGAAAGAGCAAAAAAATCTAGACTAGTGAAATCTAGAGATGTTTGTGAGATTAGCTCAGAAAAAGAAGAAAGCATAAAGAAAGAGAGACTTGTGGGTGTACCATGGGCCTTAAGTCAAGATGTCTGCACTGAACTAAAGTTTCAGATCCAGAGGGCTACAGAAAATTACATGTACCTTTCTATGTAGCTTAGGTTGAGAAAATTTGTATGTTCAAAATATCACCAACTTTGTCTCTTGGGTAGACATACTTAAAAAAGAATAAAAATTCTAGGCTAAAGAGAGGGCTCAGCAGTTAATAGCACCTTCCATTCTTGTAGAGGGCCTGAGTTCAGTTCTCAGCACCCACATGGCAGCTCACAGTTCTAAGGTATATGATACTCCTGTGCTTTCCTTGAACGCCTAATATGCATGTGACCCACACACATACATGCAGGCATTCACACAAACACACACACACACAAAAAAAAACCATTAACAAAATAAAAATTCACCTGCCGAGTCACAGCAGAGGTCAACAAAAGCCACACTAGAGATTCAGGGCAGATTGATACCAAGGCACTGGAGGCTAGTGTTACATTGCACATGCTCAAGATTGTGGTCACACAGGTACCTGCTTCTTTCCTCAAATACTTTACTGTGAAAATGTAAATCCCATTGTTGAAAGAATCACCAAATAGCTCTCATACACCATTCAACAGTTTGAAGGTGTGACGCAGGTACCTATAACAGCTGTAAGTAACATAGCTACCCTCTGTAATGTCAGTCTGCATAAGACACAGCCTTCCATTGAAATCAGGTTGCAGATGGCACGCATGAGTTCCAGAGAAGTTAACATTGGTATTTCATCCCTCAATATCTCAATATATGTGTTTCCAAAAGGTGTAATTCTACAAAGCACAGAACACTGAACTATAATACATTATGCAAGTCTGTGCGAGGGAGAAGTGATGGCCCTTGCCAGAAACATAATATAGCATTGCAAAATGCCTATCCATTTTTCAGAAAACTTATGCAGGCTTTCATGGATCTCATGGACAAATCAACTAGCACCACATGATTGTGTACTGCATTGTCACAAAGTAGTAATAGTATTTCATAAGCCAGCACACCATCTTAGCAAAGCCAACCAGTTTAACAGTGACAAGAGCTTCTCAACCTCAGATTGATGCTCATGTGACAGAAGGATTTGTTTTCTAATTCTGTTTGTGATGTTTGAATGAAAATGGCCTCCATATGAAGGATTAGGAAGTGTGGCTGTGTTTAAGAAAATGTGTCACTGGGGGATGGGATTTGAGGTTTCAAAAGCATATACCAGGTCCAGTCTCACTCAGCACCATGCCTCCCTGCCTGCTACCACGCTCCCTGCCATGATGATCATGGGTTGGTCCCATGAAGCTGTATCAAGACCCCCAGTTAAATGCTTTCTAAGTTGCCTTGGTCATGGTGTCTCTTCACAGCAATATAACAGTAGCTAAGACAGAGTTATTTTACTGCATAACAGATTCTACACATCTGCCAATACTTCTGACCCCTGAGCTTAAGGATCTAAAAAGACTGTATCCTTGGTCAAACTAGCCTGTTAGATATTAGATGTTATTATGCTTTGGTTTTCATTTTGATGAGTAACTTTGGTTACTAAAATGTGCTAACTCTCATTAAACAATGAGCAAGTAAATATTAATTTGGATTATATAGCTATTAGAAATGAAAATATTTACCAAATACTTTACTTACCAAGGGCAGATCTTTTCCAGGAATGTTCGGGAAGTCGTGGTGTTCATTATGATAGCCCACATTGAAGGTGAGTAAGTTCAGAGGCCCATAATAGGAGTATGTTTTTTGTTCCTTTAAGGACATGAAATGGTCCCCTATAAGACTGCCAGAAATTGGGTGCAAACCCAGACCAAGCACAAAGGCTGCCAGCATATAGACTAAAGATTTAATTCCCAACACATAGTAAACCATAATGTCAAAAGTGATCTGAACAACAGCATTGATGATTTCCAGATAAGAAATTGGTTTGGGGTTGATAAGTAGAGGTCGAAAAATAATAAAGAGAGGTTGGAAAGCAATCCAGACAAGCTTCCTGAAAGTGGTGCAGAAAAACCAGCCCTCAAGATCATGAGGAATACCCATATCGATACCATCAGCTCCAAGGTATCGATGATGATCCATGTGGTATCTCTTAAGGGAAATAGAAAATGGAACCCCAATAGGGAGGTTAGCAAATATTCCAAACCAGCGGTTCCACAGAGCCCTGTGGTGGCCAAAGGGGAAATTGTGGGAAATCTCATGAGAACCTATAACTAGTGAGTAGTTGATAGAGCCACCAAACACGTAGGCACAAAATATGACCCATTTCCACTGTAAGTCTTTGACTAAGTAAAATGAAGCCAACTGGACAAGAAGCATCATGGTTATGATCCAGATCAGGTTAGGGTCAGGTTTCATCAAGGATTTTATCTCTGGATACTTTGCTGTAAGAAAAGAAAATACAAGAGTCGTTAAGTGGAGATTATTGTAATCATAATTATCATCATCAAGTATATTTAAGTGAACACATTGAAGAAATTATAGTTAAAGGAGTTGGGGAGATGGCTCGATGGGTAAGAGAACTTGCTGTAAAAGCCCCTTCCTTTAAGCATGCACAGCTATTACCTGCAACTGTGTCAAAGACCTGACGATAAAGTCCCAAATCTCAAAAGATAACATTGAAGTTACTCCTCCTGATCTCTGTGGTTTTTAAGACACTCAACAATTTAATAAAAGGAAAAATTCAACTGCAAACAAATCTTTCCTTCTGCAAATAATGTCACTGAAAAAGGAAAGACTATTGATGAGGGACCTTTATGTAGACTGTATAGAAATTTTTAAAGCTTACACGGAATTTTTAGAGCTTACACAAATAAGTAATAATCCAATTTAAAAAGTGTAAAGCTGGGCTGGAGAGACGGCTCAGTGGTTAAGAGCACTGATTGCTCTTTCAGAGGTCCTGAGTTCAATTCCCAGCAACCACATGGTGGCTCACAACCATCTGTAATGAGATCCAATGCTCTCTTCTGGTGTGTATGAAGACAGCTACTCCATACTCACAAAAATAAATAAATCTTTTTTTAAAAAAAATGCAAAACTGTCTAAACAGATATTCCTTCAGTTAATCTTGGTTGTCAGTTTGATTATCTGTGGAATTACCTTAAATGCAAGTGGCTCGGCATATCTGTAAGGGATATTTCTTTTGGTTGGATTGTTTGAAGTGCAAGACCCATCCTAAATCTGAGGCAAATGTTCTGGCAGCAGCCCACATAAAAGGACACGGAGAAAGCAAGCTTTTGCCTTTTGCCTTTCACCTGCTTGCCCTCGCTCTCACTGGCAAGTTCATCTACCCTGTTGCTGAGGCACTCCTTTGCTGGCATTAGGCCCTACCTGTTTGGTATTCCAATGTAGAGGGAAGACCTGAAGCTCTCTGGAGTGTCTCTGGGACTCCAGCACCAGAGGGTGGCTTCTGAGACATTCAGTCTCTTTAACTGAATAACTATTGGAACTTTGGCCTTTCTGTCAGGAGGCAGCCATTGCTGAAATGCTCAGACCACAGCTCTAAGACACACTAATAAATCCCTTCCTATCTTTGCTACCCCCGTGCCAGGATTACTCTTATGTGCCACTATGCCTTGCTTTTATCTGGGAGCTGGGCATCTGAGTGCAGGTCATCATGCCTGCATCCCAAGCACCAAATTGACTGAGCTAATGTCTCTAAGGCTGCTTTATTATTATTTGTCATACCTTTAACAATACACTCTTGTGGAAACACACCGTTGTCTCTTTATACTTGCTGTTTATTGATGGTCACTTCAGTTAAGTCCACGACTTAGCTATTGTGAAAGTCGCATGTGTGAGTGTGCAGGTTTCTCGTTTGCATGCTGACTGTGTCCACTTTGGAAGCATAGCAGGAAGTGGGAGGGAGGACTATGTGGTAGCTCTATTGTGAGATTAGTATGGGAGGAAAGCCACTATTTTTTAAATTAATTTTTAGAAAATCCATTTTGTTCCCTATAGTAAGTGTATAGTTTCAGGCCCCCATAGCAGGGTGCAAGCATGCCTTTTCTCTGTTTGCGTTTCTATGGTGGCTAGGGGTGCTGGGGGATTTTTCATAGACATCTTTGCCATTTGTATTTCATTATTGAGAAGTGGCTCTTCAGACTACTAACTCCTTTTACACTTGGATTACTTGTGGGTTTGTAGTTTTCTCTCCCATTCTGGACATTGTCTCTCCACTGTTACTGTTCCCTTTGCTCTGCAGAAGCATTCACTATTGGGAGAAGCCCATTCATGAATCTGGTTTGTATTTGCCTTTGGGCTGTCTGCTCATTGCTGATATCTTGAGTGTGTTTTATTCTAGCAGTTTCAAATCTTTTTTTTTCTTTTTTTTCTTTTTGCAGTTTCAAATCTTAAATTCAGCTATTTAGTACGTTTTGAGTTGACTTTGTACAGTTTGATGAGAGTAAATTTTCAGTGTGGTATATGCAGATCATTTTGTATGTCTTCATTGTTTTTTTCATTCCTAGAGTCTATTACTTTGTTACTAAAGATTATTCTAAAGCCGAGCAGTGGTGGTGCACGCCTTTAATCCCAGCACTTGGGAGGCTGAGGCAGGTGGATTTCTGAGTTTGAGGCCAGCCTGGTCGACAGAGTGAGTTCCAGGACAGCCAGAGAAACCCTGTCTCGAAAACAAACAAACAAAAAAGATTATTCTAAGCAATCTAATTTTTTTCTTCTTTTTAAGATAAGGTGTATTTGTGTAGCCTTGGCAGTCCTATGACTCTCTCTGTAGATCAGGGCTAGCCTCAGACTCAGAGACCTACCTGCCTCTGAGAATTGCCTTGGGCAACTTCACAGCAATAGAACAGTGTCTAAGACATCAGTTATCTCTCTTACCATCTTGGTGTCATTTATGTGTCTGTGTGTTTTTGTCTGTGAAGTTGTGTGTGGGTGCCCATGGAAGCCAGAAGAGGGTACTGGATCCCATGGAGCTGGAGTTGCAGGGGATTCTGAGCCACGTGATTTAGGTGCTAAGAACTGAGTCCAGCAGTGCGCACTCTTAACTGTGACCCTGTTTTATCAGTTCTAAGAGCCTTTGGGTGGAGTCTGGTTTCTTACATAAAGACTACTATGGACAAACAGAATTTGTGTTTCTCCTCTTTCTCCTGCGTGTTTGCACTTTCTAAAGCTTCTTAGGCTTTTACAGCATGAACAGTGAGTGTCCTCTTTGCCAGCAAGAACCATGGAGGCCACCAGAGGAAAAGAAGGTTTCTATTGTGCCAGAAACCCTTGGGCAAACACAAAGGAATCTCTCTACAGAGTTTAAGATAAAGCCCCTGAGGAAGAAGTTTGCCCTAAAGACACTTTGAAAGGCAAGTAGGAGGCTTATCTGTGAAAGACAAATACAGGTCTTATATCTATAGAACTGGCATTGGCATGGCGAGGTTGGCAAGGATGGCTGGAAACTTCTATACCTGCAGAACCAACAGAACTCAGAATACCAATGCTGGAGGCCCAGAACTCCACAGCATTCTGCAGCTTCTCTGTTTCTACCAGGTAGGTCTTCAATGACAGACACCTTTGTTAAATTCAACAGGCTTCAATCCACATGCTGGAAATTGGGGAACACACATAGAAGTACTCCAACCAGAAGATGGTAAATGAGCTAATCTACAAGCCTGGTTAGGGCAAAATCAGTAAGAAGAGAATTGCCTCGACAATCAATTCTTTGATTGCTCGACCTCTTGGGAAGTACGACATCATCCATATGAAGAATATAATTTCTGGGATCTATACAATTCAAGGAAGCAAATAACCTCCTGAGGCCCAAATATCTTCTCCCAGAGGTGGAATGAAGAAAAAAAAAAGTCCACACATTCACTAGCAGATGGAGACACTGGCAACAGAGAACAGACAGGCCTGTGTGAAGGACGGAGGACGTGTCTCCTGGGTATTTCTGGTTAATAAACAGTGACTGCTTGACATGTTGGAGATAAACAGAAAGGGGGAAGAAAAGGTGAGGGGAGAGAGAACGGGAGAGGAGAGACAGACAGACAGACAGACAGACAGACAGACAGACAGAGGTAATGAGAGAGAGAACAGTAAGTGTCACCCTTGCCTTCTTCCTAAATGAAGAGCAAGTGCTTTGAGTTCTTTCCTTATTCAATATAATGCTGGCTGTGGCCTCTCGTGGGCTGTTCGAGCATCCAACCATCCAGCTACATTCTCAGCCCCACTTCCGTAAAAATCTGCCAAGCATTTCACTCACAGTAGTTTCTGCAACTTCCATTGCTAAGAACCAGTTGTGTTCTTTTTCTGGCATCCTATTACCTTGTTTCACATAAATTTTGTAGTTTATTTTGAGATTTTTGAGTGTTTTCAGTAAATCAGGCATGTCTGCCAGTTTTATGATGTGGACTTCTTAGAAAAGTGACAGAGTTTCAGAAATATGCTATCATGTCAATGTAATTCAAGCAATGCCCTGGCTTTTTCACCGATGGCCATCCATCTCTGTTTTCAGAAAGGGGCCACTGAGCAACACTCTCATTCCTCTTCAAAAATGGTTTACTTTTCATTGAGAAATGTAAAGTCCTTTCTGCTTTCAAGGATGGTGCTAGATTTGTGGGGAAAGTCTCCCTGAGGTGACAAGAACCGACTACAACTTCTTGTTTCTTTAATTTTCAGACTATTGATGAGAACACTGAATTCCATTGTTTGGGAGTGAGTTTTCATGTGGGTGGATATCATGTTATTAGCTATTAATAATTACCTTTATTATGCAACATGTTGATAACATAGATAAGATCACCACGTGTCACTCATATCAAGTATGCGTCAGTGATTTGCCACATGAGAGAGAGGACACGCACGAACCAAGGGTTCCCCCATCTCACACTCAAGCTCTCCTGTGTAAACCAAACAGGACTAGAACTCACATGGAACCACATGGCTCTGCTTCCTGGCTGCTGGAATAAAAGATGCCCTCTCCCCAGGCTAACCCAAAGTCTCTTAAAGGGATGTCCTTAATAAGCAACTTAAAGTTTCAATTCTGTCAGGAGGGCAGATGTGAGCACAGCAGGACCTGTCTTCTCTAACAAGACCTGGAATCACACGGTAGGATGCTGAACCCTGCTAGTACTGTCTTTTGCTTAGGATCACATGAGTGTGGCTCCAGTGGCCCTGGGGCCCCTCAGCATCATGGCATTTGCTTATGCCTGCTGCCTGACTTTGTGCTTTGCCTGGAGCCCTTTAAGGAAGCACTGAATCACAACTCATCCATGGCTTGAGGAATCTCTCGGGTTGGAGAATATTGCTGGAGACAGCCCAACCAAACGAACCCTTAGCTCTAAGGCCAACAGAGGCAAGATGAGTCAGGGTCCAGCCCACTCTTCCTAGTGGAAAGGCCAGAGCGGCACAGGGGCAGGTAGACCTCATCCCAGGTTTCCACACTGTGTACTCTGACCCACCCGAGGGCTTCTTGCCTGGGCCATTCCTACCAAGTCTTGGTGATAGACAGTTGAGGAGGAAAAAGGGGAGGTGTCAGTACCAAGCCTTAGGCATCCATGACCTTATCCCCCGACCCCTCCCACACACAATCTCACCCAATATCTCCCGACGTCGGTCACTGTGCCACCGATCAGTGTAGACCCACTCAGAATCTTCCAGGGATGCGTCTTTCCTCATGGCTGCTGTGCACACCTGCCCTAGGATCTGCTCCAGGTGCAACTCTGTGAAGGTGACAGTATCAATGGCAGCTGTGGGCTGTGGCTCTCATCCTCTTCACAGGCTGAGTAATACCTTTGAGGAGGTGCTCAACCCCACCCAGTCTCCAGCCATGCCTGGTCAGCTGACTCTGCAGACTGTGCCTCCAGGTTCTGAGGTTTGGATACGCCCTCTTGCAGTCTATGGGTACCACTGCCCCTGCCTGTGGAAGCCGGCCCTCCGCCCAAGCATGGCTGCAGACATTTTGTTCCATGCCTGCCAGCTATTTCATATTGTTATTGTAAAATGTCTGCCTGTCATTGACACAGAAAAATAACTTGACTCAGAGCAGGGTCATGTGACCATATCCCCTGTTGTATTCTCTATGAGGTTTATTAGTCTTAAAAAAATTTTTTTCACAAAGTTTTATGTAGCACCCTTTAAATTAGACGTCAATATGAACTTTTATGTCTGAATTGGCTTGAGTTAGGGCTGACCACCGGGCAGCACTTCCAGCACCTGTGTACTAGCTCATCGTGATTTTTTTTGTGGTTTTACCCTTTATAAGCTGACACTAAAAATGTTCAAGGTTGTAGACTCAGCACCACCCTACAACCCTGATGGATCAGTCTTAGCATGTGCATTCAACAAACCATCTCTGTTGGAATGAGATGGGTATTCGTGTGTTTTGTGGGGCGATTCCTGGACCCCAACATTCGGTGCATTGGCCGGGAAGCCCGGTACCCTGGAGCATCCCTCAGTTACTGACAGTGAATTCCATCAAGCCAGCTGGCCCTCCATGAGGAGGTAAGATTTTTTTTTTGTACCTTCGCAGTTCTTTTTCTTAGTTTGGTCTTGTTTCTGGTACGTTTTGGTGACTCAAGTAAAGACAGCTGGACACAGTAATGCTCTTGGGTCAGGAGGACAGAGGATGCTCCAACTCTCCTGTTGGCTAGGTGGTCAGAGTACAATCCACCCCTTTGGACAAGGACTTAGTCAGTCCTTTAGATCTAAAATTAAATACACTTAATCCTTGAAATTATATATAAAGACAAAGGAGAATATAGGTGCAATTTATCCACTAAGGTATATTTATTTCAAATTTTCAAAAGAATATTTTTTAATTTCAATTGAGAGATAATACTTATTTTTGTTGTTTTTTGACAACATTTTGCCCTAGGAAAGATATAACCTGCCAAAAAGGGACACCCCCTTCCCCAGAGGCAGGCAGTTGGGACAGGGTTTTGGTTTTATCTTTCCAGGAGAACAAAAGCATCCCACTAAGGAATCTGGAAACCATCTGAAGAAAAGGGTCAGGCCATCAAGAGAAAATGTCCCAAGAGAAAGAGTAAATTGGCCAAGTGATATTGTTGCCTTCTACAGACAAAAGTGCCAAATGCTCTTCATGTGATTCCAATTCAATTAAAAATGAAAGCTGGCTTTGGGTTTGGAGAGTGGCTCTCTCTTTATGTAAACCCACACATGCTTGATAAAGGAAAATCCAAAATCTTTGTCTCATATCAGAAGAACCACCTGATATGGGACAGGGGAAAAAAGAGAAAGACTAGTTTATTGCCAGTAATACCACAATCTTTTGGTTGTCATCTGACTCTCCAAAAGTTTCTTAATATCTACAAACTGTATCTGATTATTACGTACTTGTAAACTTTCTATCATGACACTAGCAGTCATAGAGAATATTAACTAGTTCTAGAAGTAAGCTTCATCTAGCTTCCTGTCTGTGTTCTCAGGTTTGAGTCTGAAGCAGGTAACTAGGAACAAAGTCTGTGTGCCTCGGATGTGCCAAATAGACTGTGTACTCAAACCTTTTGAATCTGCTGAATATAGCATTTAAAATGTTAAATTCTCTGCCGTTTCCAACCCTTGAGGTCCCCAAGAAGATGAAGGCGTCCTGCAACAACAAATACACGTGGGTCGTGGCGACGCCAGCCACTGGCCAAAACTGCCCCATGCCTCTTCTGCCACCAGGTTCTGCACAAACAGTGGACACCTCTGGGTTAACTACTGTGTTCTTCCTAGCCACGATTGCTACTAAGCTGATGCACACCACCCAAAGATCAGCTTTGGACTACAAACTGCTCAGGCCATTCAACTTGCTGAGTTTGTATGGGACTGATATGGACACTTTACAGAATTTTGAACTCAAAATACTTAATCCTAAAACTGCCAAATATAACCAGGTTGGACTTTGTGGGAAGCTTGACAGATAATAGCTTCATTACTGCAAATAGTTTTTCTGTGTTAGAGTTAAAATCTTTCCTTTTACTTATACAAAAAAAAAAAAGAAAATATAGGAATAATACAGGAATAATAGGAGTAAAAGGAAGAAAACATGGAATTACGTGACCACAGACTGGGACTTCTGAAACAATCTGAACACTTTCCGACTGTTAGGTTCAAACCCAGGCCGAGTCTCACTCAGCACCTGTGGCTCGTCCTAGACTGGGCTCCTCTCTTGCTCTCCTTCCCCTTTCCCCTCATGGTCTGGTTTAGTCTGCCAACCACACCCAGCCTGGCCCCTTTCCTCTGCCTTCTTTCTCCCTCATATCCACCATAAAAACATTATCTCCATACTTTAGGGATGGCCACATCCTCCTTTAATTTCACTTTCATTCACTGAGAACACAGTCAATGGCCTGGTGGTAAAAACTGATGGCTAAACTGTATTAAAATATTATAAGGGAACTGGTGAATACGGTTGGCGTAATGACTGATTCTCTGCATTTTTGAGGTCAGATGTGCCAGAGAAGTCTGGATTGTCTGACAAAGCCATTCCCCTCATAATCTGTTGACCCAAGTGGATGGCCATTATCACCACATTTTCCCTCCTGTGAATGCTAGATTGTATTTTGGTTCATTGGTGAGAACATATGTGCACAGGCCTGTGGAGTTCAGAGTTCAGTGTTCAGTGTCCTTCCCTTTGACTCTCCACCTTGGTTTTCTGAACCAGGTCTCTGACTGAGCCTGGAATGCACCAGTGTGCTAGACTAGCTGAAAAGTCCTGATTTGTGCGTATCTCCCTGACCTCTAGTGCTGGGATTGATTTCAACACAGGAAACCACGCCTGTGGGTGTTGTGTATCCAAACTCACTGAGTTCATCTTACCCACAGAACCACTTCCCTGGGCTCCTAGATTTTAATTGTAATATATGCAAACTCACCGAGCTCATCTTACCCACTGAGCCGCTCCCTTGACTCCCTAGATTTTAGTTGTCATATATGCAAATGTTTGGGGTAGTGCAGGCTGTCACACCACCCCCAGTAAAATCTGTGTGACAAGTTTTACAGACTGAGGCGAAAACTTTAAAAGAAGGAGGCCTCCTGGGACCGGTTGTGGAACTCTTGCCAGAAACAGAACATTGAGCCACAGCTCTCATGACAACTTATCCGTTTTAGTTTCTCTTATTCCTTTTCTTATTTACAACATGTTCCTGATAGCTTAGGCCAAGATCTTAAGCAAAGAAAATGGGTAAAAAAATCATCTGTTGAGATGGGTTCAGTAACATGACCTTGCCTCCAGAGAAACTGACATTTACTGGAGAGAGAGAGAGAGAGAGAGAGAGAGAGGGAGAGAGAGAGAGAGGGAGAGAGAGAACTGGGGGCTGGAGAGATGGCTCAGTGCTTAAGAGCACTGACTGCTCTTCCAGAGGTCCTGAGTTCAATTACCAGCAACCACATGGTGGCTCACAACCATCTGTAATGTGATCTGATGCCCTCTTCTGGTGTGTCACAAGACAGCTACAGTGTACTCACAATAAAATAAATAAATCTTTGAAAAAGAAAGGAAGGAAGAAAGAACATGTGATAATTTTTTAAAAACAAAGCTACATAATAATATTATGATAAATAAAACTTTCCCAAAAATAAAATTTCATATGGCCACATGTGTGTCATTAGAGGAGGGTTTTGGTATATGGTAAAGAAAGTCTTAAATAAAAATAATTAAAATAATTTAAATTTGTGCAGTGAAGATTTATAAAAAATCAGGTATTAAGATGTTAAATAATAGTTGATTATAAAAATTAATTAACCTACTCTTGGAGATCTGGCACTAGTCTTAGATGATTGCCCCTCTGAATACATCCTTTTAAAGTTATAATACTTAATGATTTTTATTGTGTTAAATAATAATAATGATGTTACCTGTTCTATTTGTGATTTATTGAATATATCTTTTTAGAGTTGGTATGCTTGGATGATTCTTGGGCTTTGATGATTGCTTTCCTGTACACATCTCCTAGGAGCTGTAATATTTGTTTTTTCTATGTATAAGAACCCTTGCTTGAAGCCGGGCAGTGGTGGCACATGCCTTTAATCCCAGCACTTGGGAGGCAGAGACAGGCAGATTTCTGAGTTCGAGACCAGCCTGGTCTACAGAGTGAGTTCCAGGACAGCCAGGACTTCACAGAGAAACCCTGTCTCGAAAAACCAAAAGGAAAAAAATAAAAGAACTCTTGCTTGAGAACTAAAAAATACACTCAGATTCAAACTGCCTCTGTGTTTGTTTCTGTTTGTCACTGCCCCTTACCCAGCTAGCCTGCAAAGACCCTCATCCCAGGGACCCCCATATCAGACTAGAGTGGTCCGTGACAGCAGGCATAGGTCTTGAAACTACATAGGGCACCGTAAGAGGCCAAGTTTTAAGTGAGTAGTGGAGGGAAGGGAGATGAGGGAATGATGGAACCCATGTCACAGGAACACAAAAGGAACAGTGAAGGAGTTTGTCGGGTTGAGGCATGGGAAAGGGAGAGGGGAGAAAAGGAACAGAAGCTAATGCCAAACTAAGTGTGATGTGTCCCTGCTGTAGAATACTGGAGAGCTACTGGATGAGAAAGGACTTTGCTCTTTGTTTCTTTGAGGAAAGGTCTTCCCACACATCCCAGGCTAGCCACTAAAGGAAATAACAATGTGAAAGCAATATTATAGCATGCTGGCATTTTGGTATAAAAAAAGAAAGGACAAAATACTGTGCTGGTGTCCTTTTGCTCATATATGGATAAAGATACCCCCCAACTCACACAATATCTAAAACCAGA